TTAAATAGGTTGACTTGGGACATTTTTTTCGTGGTTTTTGTATTATATACCCGTCGTCCATTTATTTGTAAGTCAATGATTGAGACAATAATTTGTAGCAAATACTTAACCGTCGATACTGCCTTATCTCGAATTAAAATACGGTTCATTATGCTTGGGTCGAGCGGCAGGTTTTAGTTCAGAATTTATTTTTTTTTTCCAAACGGAATTAAAGCAATTTGAAAAATGTATATCGTATACTACACGTATTCTATTTAGTTCAGTTGATATAAAAAAATAATAATAGGCATGTAAAGTACCTATTAAAAACTTTCTTTTCTTTCATTCTTGTAAAATTTCGAGGTAAATTTGTGATTTTTTTTCGATCGTGAACATTTTTAAGAATCGTGTTTTTTCACCGTATTGTAATCAGTGTATATACTCAATTTTACTATATCGCCCGTTTGCCGGAACAACGATAACGAACAACGAACAAAATATATAAAACATAGCAATGTCGATGTATAAGAGCTGACACGTTGTTCTGGCAAACGGGCGATACATTTTTTCCAAAGTGATTGGTTCAACGCTATCACTATTATGTGGAATCAACCAAAGCCATCTGAGGTTGTATAGATTTTTAATAGGAAACAATGATTTGTCGCAAAAATTTACTCAAGTCATTGCACATTGAAATATAATTAGTTCCGAGAAGTCCCGTGATTTGTAGAATTGAATGTCCACGTTATTCTTTAGTTTAGTTAAATTAACTTCCTCAATTCCGATCACTGATGATGATTACAGTGCCACTCAGAGCTTTAAGTCACAATAATCTCAGGGACACTGCCACAGTACCCGTCACCCTGAGACATGACAAGTCCCATGGACCTGAAATTTCACCAGCACCCTTGCTTTTCAAATTCTGAACGCAGTATGGTTTGACTAACCTCGTATACGGCAACGCTGTGAGTTATAGAGTCGATGTTGAGCAGATAGAAGCCGTAATCGAGGAGCGCCGCGGCGTAACGTGGGTGGTGGGGTCCGAACACCCTGCGTGCTAGCGCGACGGCCTGTCGCACCAAGATGCCAGCTTGTGTGAAGCGTCGCTTTACAACGCAAGCTTTCCCGCACGCACGAAGGACTTCTATTGTTATTCTATGCACAAACAATTTTTTTTTATCATATCTATACTAAAAATTATCTAGGATAATCCCTGAGACAGTTCATAAAGACCTACACAATATAACCTCGTAACGACGTGCATTAATTTAAGTATCCCATAAGCTTTATTATTTTTTTAAGTGAACACACTAAATTAAAGTAAAAATAACACCAAATCAATGTTTATTTGTAAGAAATGCGGAAAAACATGTTTTTTTAAATCATGATTGTTTTATGACAATGTGCAAAGGTTACTTCATTACACTGAATTTGCTAGAAACGAGGTAAATCGATAAAAAGTTTTCGAATTTATCGATAATTTAAATTACAAATGTATAGTCCGGGTGTTCATTCTTAAATTATGACTTTTAATTATAGGCAATGAAGTAACAAGGAATTAATGTTTTTTGAAATTTTCTAAAATGTCTATTGAAATTGCATTTGAATTATAGATGTGTTTTATGCTTTCAATATAGATTAATTATTTAGTATAAATAGTGTTTTATTATATTGTGTGTGTGTTAGTCCTTAAGGTATATATGCAAATAAAAACAAAAATACATTGTTCAGAATACGTCAGAAAAATAAAACTATAAAGTTTGCTTTAAAAATCAAGTACACTAAAAATCTATCGACTTTACCCCATCCCTATGATAAACGTCAAATGAAGTGTCACAGGGATCATCTTAGTTTACGTTTCGTCGCGACACGCCAATATCCGACTTTATTACCAAAGATATACATAGCTGTTTAATTTTTATCACATTAAATAGTATAGAATATGCATGTTCAAAAAAGGTTTGTAAACTCTTATAATAAATAGGGAAAAATGATATCTTTAAACATGGAACACAAAGCTATCAATATTCAGAGAAATAACTTTTTTTATATCAGTTGAGGGACGAACAAGTCGTGCGCCTGATGCTACGCGACACGCCTGTCCATAACAATTGCAGTGCTACTCAGAGCTTTAAATCGCAAATACTTGGGGAGAACTACCACTGTACCCGTCACCCTGAGACGTAAAGTTGACAAGTTCTGTGTCTGTAGCACTACCCAGAACTCTCAGACCGAAACTACTTTAAAAAAAATCTGTTTCCAAATTGGTCTTGGCGGGAATCGAACCCGGGACCTCCTCTTCTAGTGTTGACAGTGCAAATCTTTAATACACCGAGGTCGTCCTAAAATGCACATAGATAATATGACTAGGCGGAGCATGTAATTTATACAGTGTGTTTTTTAACAGGGTCAGTATGGGGAAATCCGAAACCGTAGGAAATATAGAAAAACTGTCTTAGAAACCATTAGATCTTTTGTTGTGAAAACAATATGGCATAGTAATTTTTTTGGTCAATCGTGAGTTGCCTATGAAAATTAATAGCATGGACTTTTTAAAATGCTGATCGACTCTGTTTCTTGTAAGGATCATTTCATTGTGTTGGAAGAAAAAATGAAGACAACAAAACTTGGTCAAATTTAATAAAATGTTTTTTCATACGTATGTTACGTATCCGTATGGTATATGGTTCTTACCACAATTTCCCTATATCTCCAATGGTTTCGGATTTTCCATAATGTCCTAGTTACTAAAAAACATATTGTATACATATAATCGAATTAAGTTGTGTAACACCAAGAGGAGCACTAACTTGGGCGGAGTGTGGGGCGTGAGCAGCGCCAGCGCTCGCATGGCCCAGGCGTGGGCGGCGCAGTAGTCGCAGCGGATGAAGAACAGCGAGCTGATCTCCTTGCACGTGCGCACCACCAGCGCGTCCGCGCCGTACACCGGCCGGCGCCATACGAGGTACTGTTGCCCCTCGCTCGGGCTCGACTCATCGCCCGACACCGACAGGCTGGACAATCTGCAAACGAATCGTAGCCTTGCCAGCCCACCAGGAGAGCGAGAAGCAGACTGTTTGAATCCCTGTGGCGGTGTTTGCATGCGTTAGTGAATGTTTTAGAAACGACGTGATGAGACCTGTACGTCGAAAGAGGTTGACAACGCTTTCCAAACATTTTGACATTCCATTTGAATACTAAACTGGCCAGTGATCAATAATTAAGATATTCAAAAGATTACATTGAAGATGTTTTAATCATCTAAATAGTATTAAAAATAAAATAATAACATCAACGTACAGTAAGAGCAACGGAGTTCACACAGCGGCACTTCCCAGAACACCTGTCTTGGTGAACCAATTTAGAAAAGTGCGTTTCCCAAATTAATCCTACCGCGAATCGAACCAACACAAACCGTTGGACCACCGAGGTCATCAAGATTGTTTAAACGGGTGTGTTTTTACTGATTTCTAACGGACTATTTTGCTAGTAGAAAGTTTATAATATTACAATAAGGTAAAGTAATGGGCTCTAAAACTATCCATACTTAATTTGTAAGCACCCTGTATTTGAGCGAACAATAAAAAGGATTCGTTACCTGTCAGCCGTGTCGTCAGTCTGTTGCTCGTTCTCACGGTAGAAGCTGCGGTCACCAAAGGCGAATGGCCCGTTGGGCATGGGTCCCGTGACGTCATCGGGGATGCCGAGCAGTTCGAGTGCCAGCTTGTACGTCTCCGACGCCGCGGGGAAGCAGCAATACGCCGATTGTGTGTTTAGTAACCTGCGAGGAATTTTAAACATGTCTTATGTATTTTTACCTGTTGATATTTATTAGCAAGTTGCTACCCTGTACCATACCTACTTAAAACCTGTAAAACATCTAATTATTTTTGTCAATTTAGCAATGGTATGTTAAATATCATTTATGTTAATTGAAAACCAATAAAAAACCACTACGAATTACTCAATTACTCTTCCACTTTAATATCCTGATGCCTACGGAAACTGTCTTTCAGAGAACCACATTAATGACACTTGCACAAATGCATAATTACCACACATGTATTTTGATAAGAAAGATACTGCCAAAAGATACTCATTGTCAAGTAGTTTTTACTAAAAAGATTCTAACTCAAACCAGACAATTAACAAATGCCCATAATTTATGCCTATACAAACCACTAACCAACTACGGTACTAAGAACATTCGGCACGAAGGCCAAACTATATAACAATCTTCCAAAACATATCAAAGAAATACAATCATATCCTTTGTTCAAAAAGACACTAAACTTCCGCATTTTAAAATATAATTCACAATAACAGGCAATAATTGCTTTCAATCGTAACTCTGATAGCAACTGCATATCGTATGGAAACTCTCCACATGGTCCCCTTGTTGTACGTACAAGTTAAATATTTCAGATTGCCTATATAAAAAAAATCTCATTGTTCATTTTAAGTATAAGCAACAGCATTGTGAAAACGTGAATTTGTTCCGACATATTTTTAACGATTCCGATGCTCGTTCGTTATTGTGAGCTTATTTATTTAGTGTAAGTGAATGTTTGTATTCTGTTTTTACAAATAAATGTCTTAAGCCATAAATATCATTTATATTAACGTGTACTTGTAATTTTATTAAATAAACAGTCACTGTATGCTGCTCATTCGTAAGCAGATTCCTATGAGGAGAATGAGCTAAAAAATCTAAAGTTGCTCTTTGTAAATAAACATTTGTATGTATCATCGATCAAAACTACCTGAGAGCTAAACGGGTCACTACCATGGATTTTTGTCAAAAAAAATTTTATGCTAGCGAATGTACGTGTTCAAGGACGATCATTGGCCTTCGAATTAGGATAATTATTACGACTGCCGAGAAATTAGGACCGCCAGCTGATTGATGATCACCAGGCCACCGAAAGGTGAGGCACCGCCGCGGGTGACGGGTGTCCTAATAAGCGCCCCACCACAAGTTTATTTAATTCGCTTCAAGAGTCGCTTTTAGCGTTCACACTCATTTTTGTAATATTTTTTATCTAATTAAAATTTGTCAAATCACGTAGTACGTCCTTCTCTTTCATCCATCATAAACTAAAATTTCACCCTGTATTGGATTGCAGCTTCATAGCAGTAGCTAAGCGTGGCAATTGTGAAAAACCTTCTCCCTTCAATTATGCACTACGTCCACCAGTGAACCATGTGCTGTTTATGTTAATATTTGTATGATATGTTACCTATGGCAACACTCGAGCGTGAGTCGTTTGTAGTAGGTGGTCTGTGGCAGAGACTGGCAGAGATCCTTGACGCGAAGCAGCACACGCTCCGCATCTGCGTACCACCCAGCCTCGTTCAGGAAACCACCTGAAACCACATTACATCAATTAATTGTAGCAGACAATAATACCAAAATCCGTTAGTCTTCTTTACGTGTTCAAGTATTGGGTTCTAAAAGTATTCATACTTAATTTTTTAGCACCCTGTATGTAAGCACATAATAAAAAAATATCCATTATTATACCTATCAACCGAATTATTGTTATGTACAGGGTTATTTTTAAAATAGTAACAACCTCGCAGGACTATATTACTACTACATTATAAACAACAACTTTTGTTCCATAGGTTTTTAAAAAACATAATATTTACCAAAAATAAAAGTTTTGGTTGTGCTATCTGACACTTTTTAGATCTGTATTTGGTAGGAAGGTAAATTTAAACGACCTGCGTCCTCCGCGATGACTCCCACCCCCATCGTGCACAGCGTTATTACCGTTTAGAGCGATCTACTTACATATACTTTAGGAGATTTGTTATAAAATTTAAATTTCATTCGTTTTTTATGACTGATTGGATTGCATGGGTGTTCAAATTACAGCATGAGTCTGTAGATAAAAATTATGAAAACTTTATAATAATAATAATAATAACGCACACACTCAACATAGCCCCGCACTAGGGAAACCCTGTATCGCGGGTGCCATGGACACACACATTATATGTCACAAGATGCAGTCTTTTAACGTCTTTAAAATGTATGTAAAACAAAATTATTGTTTTCTTTAGCCGTTCTCAATCTCTAAGGTGTAGGCCTCCTTCAGTTTATGCCATCTTTTCCGGTTTTGAGCAGTTTCTAAAGACTTTGTGCATCTGTGGTCTTCCTCCTGGGCGTTTCTCGCTCCACGGTCTCATTTCTACCACTGCATGGCACCAAGAGTCTTGCGGGCGACATGGTCAGCCCATTCCCGCTTCAATTTCGCAACCCGTTTAGTAACATCGTTCACTTTACTTTGCTCACTGACCCATTTGTTTCTTTTACGGTCTCTCAGCGTAACTCCTACCAGTTTTCTTTCGATTCGATTTTGAGCCACCTGAAGTTTGTGGAGGATCTCCGTAGTAAAAAACCAAGGACCAGCTACATACCGACAAAATACACTGGTCGTGAATGCGAGCTTTTTGTTTATAATGGGTGATTCATTTGGAGGTACTTTATTCATAACTAAAAAAAATGTAATAGAAACAAATTTATCGGGTTATCTTTATTATCATATAAAAAAACCATTCTTGACATTTATTTTTTAAGATTATATCTTTCAAATATTGGCCGTAACTGCGGTTAACGTGGTCCATTCTGCAGTTCCAACTCAGCGGTCCGAAGCGTGAAATCAACTGTTCACCAAATTGTTCACGCAATAGCGACCGGATTTCTTCAAAAACGAGGACCGGTGAGTTGGCCCCCTAGATATTGTGACTTCACACTCCTAGAGTTATTCCTTTGGGGCTATATGTAAAGTCCAAAATGTACTCGCGTTATTCGGCAAATACCAATTGAAATGCTCGGACGCGTCATCGAAAATTGGATTATATGAATATACGTGCGTTCAACATGCATATCAGTGTGTATATATATATAATTTCGAGTTTGGAGTAAGTGGCCCACTCCAGTCTTACGATGTTAGTAATATAGTCCTAAGAAGCTGTATACCTTGTGTGAGTCGTCTATGTATCCGTATTGGGCCTTGTTGTCGTAACGATGGTGAGTCAGTGCATCAAATATGAGGTTTATGGGGTACGCACGACTACAGAGTAGTCGTATTGAGTTCAGTATAAGTTGACACAAGGAGCTATTAGTAGCCATAGCAACGACATTGGACTAAAGTCACTGACATGGCCCGCTTGTACTGGTTATAACTCGTGTGGCCGTTCGTACTAATGAGAATTGATATGATACATTATAATGGTTCGTCTATTAGTTTTTTCACAAAATCTCTCAGCATGTCTTTGCGCCTCAGGCTTATTGTACCTATAGGTTAATTCTTAAAATATTTTTTTAACAAACAACATAAAAAAACACGCATATTTTAGGCAACGTGAGGTTGCCTAGAATCCGATTATTAAAGAGATTAAGTGTAACATGATATCTCCATGGCATTGCGTGGCAAAAACGGAATTTCTGCACCGTTTTTGGAATGGACTACACACTTATTTTTAAACGATTTAAAAAAAAGAGGTTGTCAATTCTACAGTATTTTTATTCAACTTTTGTGAACCTTGTTCCACGTGCAGGTTTTATCACGATAAGTGACATCACGGAGAAGCTCATGGCAAATTTCGCATATAAATTTCGAGAAACTCACGAGCCCGGAGCCCAGGGCCTCTGCTTGAGATGCGGCAGGTTAAACCAATAGGCTACCACGGCGTTTTCGTTCTTAATACATGAACATAAAACTTTTTTTGATCGGCTTAATTCAGTGTCGATAAGTGTGATGTCTCCATTAAGATCCGATTTTAAACATTTTGAAAGTCTCGTGAGGAGAGGTTATGGGTATATTACTGAACCTTCATATAGCATCGTGTCCAGTGTACAACTTACCGAGTTTTAACCCGAGATGTATGAGGTAGTCCATAGTGTGTGCGCTAGCATCACACCTAGCCAAGTAAGCTGTTGCTAATTCTACGGATAGCTTGGATCCGTGCTCAATCACCGCCTGAAATAGATACAATTGACAGCGTTAGAAACTTTTACCCTCGTTATACATACTTATTAATATTAGACAAATCCCGATACAAAACTGTATACACCAAGAAGTCACTAAAGTCGCCATTCGTAAGTTACAACATATTGACACCAATTTAATGAGCCTAAATACGAATTTATTTTCGGGCCAAGACATTTCTTCCCGAACTTGGGTATGGACGGACATGTGCCTCTGCTCTGGTGGTGTGTGGCCGAAGCGTCCGTCTCGTACGCAGCTACACGGTAAAAACAGATTACTTAGAAAAAGACAAAATTCTTTTTATGAAGACAAATTTATCAAATCCAACAAAACGATCCTATCCCTATAGACGCTAAAGAACTTGCTAATAGTAAAAAAACCTCTCAAAAGTGTATTTTAGTTATAAGACAGAAATATTTAATCCAAGAGCAAATTAATTTACTTCAAGTCACAAAGCTACTCTAGATTCAACAAAACATTTATTAGTTATTAGAAATGTCCGATTCCGACTTGAAAACAAAACATGAAAAATTGAGGTACTTAATTATTTGACTGAAGACTTATGTTTTCTAATATCAAAAAGGGTAAATTTACAGGGTTATGGACCCAAAAGAATGTCTCACTGGCGTGAAAGCACACAGTTTAGTAACAAACCTTAAAGTAGAGGTGGGTGATAAATAACATCACGATGAAAAAATCACGGTGATCCGCCGTCAAGCAGTATCACCGTGACTAGTTCCGCAGGAACGACGTTCCAAAGTCACATAGGTGTTCCTCCGTTCCAATAGCTATCCCCGTCACTCACATCACGATATACGTATTTGATACAATGCGCGATCTCCGTTCCGTGGTGACTGAGCGCGCCACTCGTTGTATTTCGGATAATCGGGCCATTTCGGCGGTGGGAGTGAGTGAGATAGGATGACATTCTTTTCTCACTCACAAGGGTCGTAGGTGCTTATTACTACTAGAAAGGGCGGATGAAAAAAATCTGCAGCAGTTACTATAAACCGTAAAAATATAATAAAAGTAGTAAAACAATATAATAAAAGTATAAAAAGTAAAATATTTTTGAATATTTGTTTTATTATAGGAAGAGTTAGTATTTTATATTTATGTATAATCTACTTTGTGTATTCTACTAGAAATATAATTACATTACACTTTATTGCTATCTTTAACAAATCCAAAGATTCGCATAAAATAAGTAACAAACAAAATTACATTAAACACTAAATCAACTTTTTGAATGGATTTGAAACTTATTACAAAGGGAGTAAAAACTTAAATCATTCTATAAAAACGGCTATAAGTATTAGAAAGAAGCCGCTGGCTAAAATCGTATATCGTGATGTAAGTTATAGGCGTGACAAGGTCACGGATATTACCGTGATTTTTTTGGAACCGGAACGACGGTCACGGCGATAAAAATGTAACGCTATTCCCCATGTCTACCTTAAAGTAGCAGAAAATAGGACGGAATCTTCTCAAATACTTAAGTACCACTCAGTGCCGTATACATGCTACCGCGGCAGAAAGCACTAACAATTCAAAATATATGAGATGATATACTATTGAAGTTAACAAAACGATAGCGCGTTTCAGAGTACAACTACGTGACGTGACGGAACTAATTGCATGTTAAAGTTGTGCTACAAGTGTAGTTTGATTTCATGTTGAAACCAAATTTCTTAAATTATGATTACAAATAACACCCTAACAAACTAGAGATACTACGCATGTTTCTTTGGATAAATGACTGTTTATGATTTTTATGATTAGAAACACAAGTAAAAATAATCGTTGGCGCGTGCGCCTTCGGCGACATGTCACGACAACATTGACTATGAAAACGCAACGAAATGTTGCTTTAAGAATATACTCTAGAATTTAGAATAATAATCTGAATAGCAAACTACTTCTTTTTTGTTTAAGAATATATTTTCTTAAAATACACCCAAGAAATTTTAAATTCATTTAAGATTATTTAAATTTGATGTAAGAGGTAAAAATTTCTTGACGTAAGTAATGTCCAATTAATTGATTAGAAATGAAATAAAATCTTGAAGTGAACGTATTTGTCTAAAAGTTAGAATAAAGTTAAGAGTAAAATTGTATTAGAAAAAGATAAGCAGTAATAGTTTTGTGTAATGACATTATTTTATTACTTTTAATAAATATTTTTTTTAAATTAGCAAATATTTTGAGAAATTGCTCTATCTTATTAGTTAAAACCCTTTTTCCTGTGTAGCACGTCTTGGTAGCAGTCTTGACGAGGGCCGAAGGCGAGGAGCCGCGCGGGTCACGTGAGTTGCCCTTTAAATTAGAAGCTATGTCCGGACATTGTCGTAGGACACTGCGACTGACATCTCCGGTACTAGCCCGGAGAGCTAGACATTCTCCGGTCCCTCCAGTCGCGTAGGTTTCTGGGAACTGGAGAAATGCCCCGGTGTCGGGAAGTGAGCGTGCCTTACAGCTTCGCCACCAAAGAGGCGCCTTGATAGTAGTACACTTTAGAGTCAACGGCTTAGCAGTGGCAACCGTTAGTTATGCAATGTGCAACAGGAAGTAAGCGTGCCCGAGGCACTAGCCTCTTGAAAACCGGATGAAATCAGTGAAAACCCTATACACTGACTGATCTGCGGTCAGAACTTGAACTTAGATGGTTCCTACGCACGCGCAGTTTATAGTGTCCTTCTCGTATACCCTAAGGGTCTGTAGGGAGGGTCACCATAATCAACTAATGTAGAAAGGTACGGGGTTGTTACTTAGTCTGTCTCTACGACTTACACCACATACATTTACTCTTTATTCATGTTTCTTCAGTCGTACCTAACTTTCACTACCGTACATTAGGGTGGGACCAACACACCTTTGCGAAAACCATACGCGCCTTTTTGGCACGCTCTGGCTATCGACAAAGGCGTGCAGATGCTCATTGTCGTTTCATTCTCCATTTACTATCAACTTCACTGTAACATTTCTAGTTGATTAATAAGCATCTTTTGAATTTTAAGGCCATAGTGGTCACGACGGAATGTGAACGACTGTATTATTAATATTACATAATGTACCAACAATAACGTCTGATCGTATAGCCCGTTCAATTGTAGTTGATAGAGCGTGTCAATAGGCACATCACATGACGCATGCGCCTGCGCCGGCCGGCGGTTGATGGATGATATAACAGGAATATTAACTTCGTTGTAGACAGTCAGATATTTAGACGAATGTTTACTATATTTATATGACAAAAATAGTAATATGATCGGGATGGATCTTAGCCATGTTTGAGGAACACCTGTCCAGCTGTTTAAAGCGTGGAACACATAGAGAATGGATCCGTTGCGTGAGACGAGCTGTTTATTTGCCGCATACTCGACTAGACAGCGGCAACGGTTGCTACGAATGAACCATTTCAAATTAGATAAAATTTGTCAACTATTTCAATAATAATAAATAAACAAAAATAAAACATTACTTTCATGTAATTGGTCTCCAATCCGCTGCCACATTTTTGCTTTGAAAACTATGTTTTTATAATTTTAGACATTAAACTCGTATAAACTAGTATGTTTAGGTCTGGGTTAGACAGAGACCATGAGTCTCCACTTGCTACGTTCCTGATAAACCTCTTTCGGTTTCTTCATTCGCATTAATCACTTCATTCATGTCTGTTTGTTCTTGGCACTTTTAATCTGGCCTTTTGTTAAAGACATCACCAATCTGATCATGAATGTACATCGAGGTCTAACCGTGCCCCACGTTTCCATCCACATAAATAAATTTTTGATACGACTAACATTCTTTCCGGCTGGCTAAACCATCGTCTTTTACACCACAACCTCTCTTACTACAGTTTCTTTGGGTGTAATAAACGATTGTCATACATATCGTATCTGTCATACTTACAGTGCTTTTATTTTCTCAATGTCCCTCAGCAATCATTTCTATCAGGATTTCCGAGTGCATACGAATATTAATTTCCATGCGCATCCCATTCATTATTAGATTTAAAATTAATAATAATTTGAATTTTGAACAACACACTTCATTGTTGTTTTATTTTTATTTCCGCGTGAACTATATAGAGCTGCAAAACTATTTCCCTATTTTTAATAACATTTACTCCATGTCAATAAGCAAGTTAACAAAAATATAAAATACATAAAGTGTTCCTCTTTTATATAACTAAAAATGAATGTTTTTCCGGTTATTAATCATTTCAACTTAGTCCGTATCTCAATGCAGTTTTTGTCATCTGACATAGCTATGTTGATATGTTCGTCATCGATTGAATAATCACTTTCCGCGCTGCTCGAACAGGTATTTATTATAAAATTGTCCATGTACTGTTCAAACAATGGTTCAATAGGAACTGAATTATCTTTTTTATCATATTCTTTACTGTTCAGATTGAAACACCACAAGCTATTGAAACACGTTTTTGGACTTCTTGAACGTATCGGCTTCTTGTAAAAAATACAAGTACACGCTGTAAATTATGTGTCGTGCCTGTGCCTTTAGCGGCATTCCTCCCATTGTATAATAAATAAAAAATGTAATAGCAACTCTATATGCTTCTAAGTCGAGGAAAGCATCCGGTCTGTACCAAAGGCAAGGGGCAACTGCATAAAACCCGACGACAGCCGAAACACGAAGCTTGCCGAGAGCATTGAGAATAAAAGCACTGTAAAAAATTTACTAAGTTTACTCAAGCGTTAAGAGGTTTACGTAACGTCAAAACCAATTACAATTTTACCACCTGCCGTAAAAGGCGGTCAACATTTATATGTTTGCCTGCAAAGTCCACACCAATATTTGATATTGTATCTTAAATGTTCGCGATAATCATGTTATCAGATTTCGCCGTCAAAGATTTTGCGACAAATTTGAAAAAAACTTGTTTGTGTTCTAAATTATTAAGAGAGTTTCCTCAGGTATAATAGGCAATATTAAATGATATCGTTCAAATAATTAATCTTTGATAT